CGTCATAACTAAGTCGTCAGCTGTTTAAACAGCCTACGTCAAGGCAAGAAATAACATGCTGCCTACGTTACAACTGGTATTTTGGCATAATGGAAAAGGGGGGGATTTGTTACACACTGGCCTTATGAGGATAGGCCATCCTGTAGTAGTAGTGTGTATCATCCTTGTTTACACGTAGCGTTAGCTATTACGTCACAAATTACATATACTGTCACAAACATGTCATTGGGACAAACAAACGATTATAGGTCTGTTCGCACAGAAATCACAAACCAGTCAGAGTGAATTTCATTGGTTGAAACTAGTTTTCTGACTGTTTCTGACTATTTTCAACCAATGAAATTCGCTCTGACTGGTTCGTGATTGCTGTGCGAACAGGCCTTATATTAATTTGTTCCCTTATCGAAAGTGTCGTTTTGTGATTTTTTGACGTAAGCAGAATTAGCTCAAGCTTGGCCTAGACATTCTTTGATCGATTATTAAAAAAATACCAATTTCTCGATTTTTTTGTTTGTGCAATCTCTGTATTTCCTAAAAATAATCCATAACGACTTGAACTTTGAAAAATAGGCGACCAGATAATACACATTGTCAGACAAAGTGCACTCCGAGTGCAATGAGAGCAACACCTTTAGAATACTTTTTTAAATTTTCTTTCAAGAGCCAGGAATAAGGAACAGATTTTGAATTGTAATGAAATTTTTGCATCAAGACGATTCCAATTTGACATTTAAATCGGTATAACTTCGAACAGTTGGAACATGTTCTATGACAGTTGACGTTTAAAGCATTGTTTATCTGTCAATTGTCAGAAAAAGTGCACTCCGAGTGCAATGAGAACAACACTTTTAGAATACTTTCCCAAATTTTCTTTCAAGAGCCTGGAATAAAGAACAAATTTGGAATTGCAATTAAATCTAATGTAAAGGCCGTTTTACAGCTTGCAAGAAAACTTGAATGCCATTTATTGCATGCAAAAAAATTGCATTCAAGATTTTTTGCACGTCGTTTTTAGGGTCGAATTTATAGTCGTTCCTTGACTCTTCCTTGGTCGTGAGTTTAGAATGGACACTTTGCTACTATTTGACAAGTTATTTATATCAGTTCTAAACGTTCAAGGCTTCCTTAAGGTCTGAGGAGACCTCAAAAATGGCACCAAACCGATTGCGTGCAATGCCATTCAAGTTTCAAGAATCTTGCAGAAACCAATCAGCTGACTCACTTCTGCGCATGCCCTCCTTCAAGTTTCTTGCATATTGCAGAAAAAATTGCAAGCTGTAAAACGGCCTTAATGAACTTTTTTTATCAAGATGATTTTAATTTGATATCTAAATCAGTACAACTCCAAATATTTGGTGTTTCATGACAGTTGACCTTTAAAGCATTGTTTATCTGTCAATTGTCAGGAAAAGTACACTCCATGCCATGAGAGCAACACTTTTAGAATACTTCCTCAAATTTTGTTTCAAGAGCCAGGAATAAGGAACAAATTTTGAATTATAATGAAATGTACTGTTATGAAATTTTTGCATGAAGACGATTTTACTTTCTAACTGAATATCAATATTTAATGAGGTAATTTTAAGAAGAAAACTTCACATGAACGTATGTTCTAAACATGCTGGAGTCTTATGCCTCATTCTCACTTGCGCGAAATTCGCTCTTTTTTTGACATTGCTTCGACAACTTGACGTTTAATGCGTGTATCAAACGTCAAGTTTTCGAAGCGATGTCAAAAAAAATTTTGCGCAAGTGAGAATTAGGCATTATGCATCCGTTTTCCGAGGTCCGATGTCCGAAAAACCTTCTATTCTGACATAATCGTATAAAAATATGTCAAAATAGAAGGCTTTTCGGACATCGGATGTCGAAAAACGGATGCATGAGGCTCCGGCTTTAACTTCTCAGATACAGGGTGATAAAATTTCAAAAATAAATTATTTATTCTCAATATCGGTAACACAACTTTAGATATTTTGATGAAATTTGACACACATGCACTATAAACAGGGTGATCCAGTATAAATGAACACACCCTACCTTTCCGCTAAAAACTGATTTTTGAAAAAATCAAGATAGGAGGTGTTCATTTTATACTGGATCACCCTGTGTCAGGAGACATTTTTTAATGTTCCACATTTTTTTAAATTTCCACCAGTGGCATTCGTACGAAATTTGACCTGCCTATTTTGGCATTGATGGTACGCCACTGATTTTTCTTAAAATAAAAATTATTCTTGGAATCCCCAATCATTTCTAAGCAAAGTTGATCATTTGATTTTTTACAATCCGATGCACGGTTTGAAAAATTATTTCAAATTTTAATTGCTTGTGAAAGGTTATCTGGTAATGGCAAACAGATGACGTCATCACAGTCTTCATTCTCGAAACAGGGGAACAGCGTTCTCATGAGAACGAAGATTCTGTCTTCGTCGCTCATGCTCATATCTCCATAACACTGACAAAGACAGAACCTTGGTTCTCATGAGAACGCCGTTCCCCAGTTTCGAAAATAAGAACCCAGGGGCCGAATTCCCGGCTCAGGAAGTAGAGATCCCCGATAGAACGAATGTTTTGTCCTTGTCAACGTAATCGAAAAGTAAATGAAAATGAGACGAAAAAATTTGTTCTCTCGGGGAGCTCTATTCCCTGGGCCCGTATTCTCGTAACCGGGGAGCGATTTTACTAAATATAAACTACAGCACAAGAGATGCTAGCCCTTAACGTCATTGCAAAATATAATCGCGCTCAGCACCCTGCAAAATCTAATCGTTTGTAGCACTACCTGGCGGATCTAGCCTCAAATTTTACTTGTTGTTAGAAGCAGGGCTCACTCTTAGAAGTTTATTATTATTTTTAGTATTGAGTGTTTTCATTATGGATAATTTAATTCAACTTATTAATCCATTGTGTTACAATGGAAATGTTAATATACCTAATCGAGTATGAAAATAAAAACAATTACATAGCAGTACTTCGCTTAAAGTTAAAAGGGAAATCTGACGAAAAGTGCAATTCCGACGACTTTAACTTGCGTTGCAATGAGTGGGTGAATGAATTTTCAATAATAACAAAGACACAATGGATATTGAAAAAACTTTGCCAAAACTGCAGATTATTGTTTCGTAAACAATACGTGTGCCATCACAACAGCTTTAATAAAGTATTGGCAGATAAATAAAACTATCAAACTTTATATCATTGAAATCAACAAAAACAGAGCTATCCAATGAGCTATTAATATATAGGGTGTTTTATTAAAAAATATTGGACTTTGGTCTATATCTCGAAATCGGAGCGAAAAAAACTGAGTCCGCCACTGGATTGTGCTCAAAAAAGTATCTCCAAAATGTTTTTACAGAAATAAAAAAAATTGATAAACAAAAAACTTATAGCTATTTATCATAATAGGGGAAAATCGAAAATCGCCCTGTATCAATGATACCATTGAAGATATCGTGAGTCGATATCTCGGTTTTTGACAACCGACGTTTCTCGAAAATCAATCCTATGACAGGTTAATTTTCTTCTATCTGGTCTAGAAGTATGTTTTTCCTGGTTAAAACACTCCAAATTGCAGTAACTTGTAAATTTTTAAAATTCGATAACTGTATTCTTTTTCAATTGATTTATTTATATGAATCAGCCGCACGTTGTGCTGTCAACGATTAGATTTTGCAGAATTGTGCTGAGCGCGATTATATTTTGCATTGTTAGCGTCTCTTGTGCTGTAATAGTTTATATTTAGTAAAATCGCAACCGGGGAACAGCGTTTTTTCAAGAGAACGATTGCTCTGTCTTTGTCAGTATTATGGAAATAATAATATTTTTGACCAAGACAAAGCAATCGTTCTCTTGAGAGAACGTTGTTCCTCGGTGACGAGAATACGGGCCCCGGCCGAGAATCGGCCTCCTGGTGGTTCTTATGTAGATTTGCATTATGTTTAGGCATACAAATGACGTCATAGAAGTTGTCAGGCAACCTTCCTCTTCCAAACAACCTTGATCCAAACCACAAATGCCAGGATTTAATATGGCGGCAAAGGTCAAGCATTAATGTTTATTTGTTCTACGCTTTCAATCGTTTTGATTTTTGAATTTTTTACTTTTCGTCGTGTGGTTTAAATCACATACCGTAATTTAAAAAAACACCCAGTGACGAACCATCAATGTCTGCCAAAATAGGCAAATCAACTGGTGGAAATTGAAAAAAAAAAGACAAACGTTCATGTAAAGTTTTCTTCTCAAAATAGACCATAAAATCGCCCCCTCAAATATTGACATTCAATTAGAAAATAGAGGAATACTTAGATTTAACCAAATTTTAACCAGAAATGAGAAAAACGGCCCTTAATATTTAATCTAAGTTTTTGAACTATCGAATAACTATACGTACCTATACTCTGTTTTTTAATCCTTGGGTACAAAAAGTATTATAGTTAAGTAAGTCTATGTGAATAATTACAATGTTTTGATAATCAAATCTATCAGATTTATTTAGACTTTATTCGATTTGGCCATTAATTTTTCCATGTTGAGATTCTTGGTATTTTAGCTCAAAAATCTATCTCTAATTGAAATATCCATCCATATTTCCGCCTATAATAAAATAGGCCCCAATTAAATTCTAGAGTAGGTACATTCAATTGCTAGTTGTTTGAAGATTACTGCTCTTGCGCGAGAGCCAAAAGGGCCGCAGCCCTTAATATATTTTTTTGATTACCTATATAGCTCTAATTTTAAATGAACTAAATTTTTTCTACAGCATCTTCTTTATATAAAGCCAAGTAATTTAATTGGATGCAATTAAATAAGTATACCTACGAAAAAAAAAAATTAAGTATAGAGGGTGGAGGTCATGGCGCCGGGGTCACTGGGTCGAATATCCCGGGGACGCAGCCATTTTCGGCGAGAGCCAATCAGGACTTGATCACGTGACTGCAGCATCCTTTCCTGATCCTGCTCCTGCTCTCTTCCTGCAAACAGTCCTCTCCCGGCGACAGGGGTCCCGAATCTCCCGCACCCTTATACCTACACACGAAAATCGCGTTCGACTTATTCTGGGGAAACAAAAGCAAATTTTTTGTTCGTTCTACTTACTTATAGACAACATTGTAGTGTGCGTATATATGTGCTTTTTTTGTCTGGATAGTAAAAAAGATCCGCCCAAAATTGAATCGACATAATATTATGACGTAATTAAAAAAAAAAAAAACGACTTTTCAACGATTAATAAATTGGAAATACAACGATTGCATTAATTGGAAAATGTCCGGTGGTGAGATGAAAGTGGCGACCGTCGAGGTGGAGTCGTCAAATGGAGGCGGCGACAACAATATGGCGACGCTTCCAGTTTCGCGGGCTCACCATAATCGAAACGAAAGCGACGAGCCCGCAACGAACAAAGAGCTCGGGCTCAGATTTGTACAAGAGAAACCCGATAAAAGGTTTGTCAATTATTTACTTTAGAATTTCTTGGAATATTCTAGAAAATTGTAGAATATTCAGTTACCTTATAATATACGACCCAATATCAAAATCATCTGAATCAAAAACTCAGTTTTCTATATAGTAAGTATTTCAAGAATTGAAATACAAAATCTCTTTGTTGGTGCCTTGGTGGTAATTCGACGATTGGTGAAGAAATATCATTGTAAATTATCCTATTTGGTTTATATTCCCAGTCCTTGGCAGTTTTACTTCCTCAAATGAAGGAAGGCAAATGAAGTTTTGAGACAAATTTTTACTCAATTTGATGCAAAATTTGAATCTTCGTTTAATAAAAGTTGGCCTCAAACTACTGCCTTCGCGTTGATTTTACTTTTTAAAATTATTATCGAAGTAGAGTTATAATCAATCCTGGAAAAAAATGGAACATTTGGAATAGGTAACCAATCTTGAAATGACAAAATTTTTGAATTTTTTTTAAAGGGAAATTAAAAAGGAAACATTAATAACCCAATGGAATGACAGAACATTTCGGGCTCTCCTGAATGTTCTTTCGATTTACTTTCCAGAAAGAAAAACCATGAATCGTAAACTCTAACAGTCCAATCCCATAAGACATACGTTCGCTAAAATATCGAATTGTCTAGGACTGCGACTGACGTCACGTGCCGTCAGTCAGTCGCAATTTTCGACAGGATTGTTGTTTCTATTATGAACGTGCATTTTGACCCTAAAAATCGTTGTGTTCAGTCAATTATTATATGTCGCGATTGTTTTAAACTGTTCTAGAACCGTCCTTTTTTCAAATCCGAACAAGCTATAGTAAACGCGCCAATGAAGGACTGCAGCTGACGTCACAGTACTGTCGGACAAATTCGGAAATCCTGTAGAATTTTACGATTCTTGGTTTTTCCCAATTTTGTGTTTTTTTCCTGGTTTCCATTGCAGCTCATTTTTCAGTTTTTCCTGAGCCTGATTAGTGTTTTTTTAAACCTTTTTTCAAATGAATAAATAAATTTCTCGCTTTTCCCCGTTTTCCTATTTTTCTGGCTTTCTGTCTTTTTTACGCTAGGTTGTCGTAAAGGCAAACAGATGACGTCAGCAGGTGGTTCTTATGGAGATTTGCATTAGGTTTAGGCATAAAGATGATGTAAAAGTTATCAGGCAACCTCCATCTTTCAAAAAACCTTGATCCAAACCACAAATGCCAGGATTCAATATGGCGGCAATGATCAAGCATTTGTAATGTTTGCTTATTTAACTTATGTTTATCATCGTTTTTATTTTTGAAGTTTTCATTTCTGTCGTGTAGTTTTGAGCACACACCGTAATTTTGTATTCTCATCACTTTTTTTTCCCCTTAAATTTTGTAGTTCCAGTAAGTAGGTAGATAGAAAGAGAAAAGGAGAGATATTGCCACAATTTTGGACTAGATGTCACTACTGTCAAAATCTGGATAATGTTGCCAATTCGAAGTAAAAACGCGGGAGATTCAAATTTAAAAATATAAAAAGTACAAGATAAAAAGAAATTAAAATTCAAAAATTTAATAGTTTTTCTGATTGCAATTCTCGTCAATTCCATCTATCAGGCACATTTTAGTTTAATTTTAGTATCCGTCGGAGGGTTGCCAAATTTCCGTTTATTTCCGAGATATAAGGGAAATGTGAAAAATCCCTAAAACCCATTTAATGAATATTTCAAAATCCATTAAGTTTCAAAAAAAGTGTTCAATACAAAATTTTCAAGATTTCTCCTCTACAAATGGCGTAATTGTTATTTTCACACAGCTTTTGGATTGTGTTTAAATTTTCCTTTATATCTCGGAAACAAACAAAAATTTGGCAACCCTGTGAACTTACCTTCAATAGACACTAAAATCTGCCACTTTTGTCTTATTTAACCCACTTCGTACTTTTTACCGTTTCGGAGATAGCAATAGTAGTATCACTTAAAACGGACACCCTGTATATGCATATAAAAATTATTTTGAAATATTTTTGGCGTCCATATTTGAAAGTCTTTTTGACGTCATTTGGTCATTATTATATCGACTATTTATAGTCTATTAAGTTTGAAATGAGATGTCAGGATATGACGTTTTTTGGATGTGACATGACATTACGACGTCTTTTTCCGTCATGTTGGACGTATGTTTGACGTCATTTTTGGACTAATGTGATGACATTTTATGACCGTCACGTGCTATACCTGAGGACTCGCCAAATGAAAAAAAAAATTAGACTCATTTCAACTTTGTCAATTTTTTGTTCGATTTTCTAATTTTCTTTCAGTTAATTTTTTAGTTTTTTCTGGGCTTTTGACCGTTGTCGCCATATTGAATCCTGGCTTTTGTGGTTTGAATCAAGGTTGTTTAAGAGAGGTAGGTTGCCTGATAAATGTATGACGTCATCTAGGGTACCTCAATGTAATGCAAATCTCCATAAGGCACCCCAGATGCGTCATCAAGTTACCCTTTACCAGAAAACCTTTCAATTTTAGAAACCTTGCTCTGTATCTAAACAAACTTTCAATACATTTTATTTGAGGCTTCTGTCTTACATCGTATTAGATGTACCAATGAATAATTGTGTTATGGATGTCCTACTTGGGAATTTTGAAAGTGTGACGTAACATCCTGACTTTGTTAATTGTCTATTAGTGCGATGTCATTATTTGATATCCTCTGTATCTAAATAAACTTCCAGTACATTTCAATTTTTATGACATATCCATGATTTACATTGTATTGGATGTATCAATGGATAATTATATTATAGATGACCTACTTGGAAATTTTGAAAGTATGACGTGGCATCCTGACTTTGTCAATTTGCCATTAGAAGTGTGACGTGATCAATTAACATCCGTTTTATCCAAGGTTGTTTGAAAAAGGTAGGTTCCCTGATAACTTTTATGATGTCATCTGAGGTGCCTGAACATAATGCAAATCTCCATTTGGTCCGCTTGATGACGTCATCTGTTAACTATTACCAGATTTGTATTACATTGTACTGGATGTATGAAATGGATAATTACATTATGGATGGCCCACTTGGAAATTTTGAGAGTGTGACGTCATCAATTGATATCTTCTGTATCTAAACAAACATTCAATTCATTTCAAGGGAGACTTCTGTCTTACATTGTATTGGCTGTACCAATGGATAGTTATATTATGGATGGCCTACTTGGGAATTTTGGAAGTGTCACGTGGCATCCTGACTTTGTCAATTGTCCATTAGAAGTGTGACGTCATCAGTTAACATCCTCTGTATCCTGGGTTGGTTGAAAGAAGTAGGTTGCCTGATAACTTTTATGATGTCATCTAGGGTGCCTGCACATAATGCAAATCTCCAATAGTTCCGCCAGATAACGTTATCTGTTTACTATTACCAGACAACTTATTAACTTTAAGAACCTTGTTCTGTATCTAAACAAAATTTCAGTACATTTCAATTGAGACTTTTGTCTTATATTGTATTATCGAAATCAGTCTGGAAGTCATACCAGCCGTTCGAAAATAAATTGGTATAAACTCCGGTTGACTTTCACGCTAGTTCAAAAAAATATCCTGAGTGCTACCCAGTGTGCACTCTTTCTAAACTAACTCTGCCGCTAGGTAAATTTTACTCTTGTCATTCTTGTCAGCTTTTTCATTATTTAAATCTACTACTTTCATATTAGTCAGAAGATAGATGAAGAACAACCAAAACTCAAAAATTTTTGATTAATTATCCAATTAACACTGATATTTGATTTGACTACTCGTTCTTGCTCCGGGGTGAAATTATCTCAAGTTTTCTTCTGTAAGGGCTGTGTCGACTTCTGTTTTAAGTGATTTCTCTTGTCCGTTGAGGGGAGTCAATTGGACAGACTGCTGCCTACCACCTTATTAACACAGGCTTGGTAGGAGGAGTTAGAGTCGGATAGTTCCTTGACGAATATCGGTGATTACAATGGAAAGAGCCATTCTTGGGATAGTCGCATTCCTAGGTGTATTCGTCCGCACACTGATTTCTTTTCTATCCCTTCTTCATTGAGCCATTTTCCGTTTCTCGGAAGTTGTTGTTGATAATAAGTACAAACAGATAAATGAAATCAATCAACGATGAAATGCACAGAACACTGGGACAATTAGGCAATTCAATCCATCTGTCAAAAAGGAAAATTCAATGTGGCGTGGCGGCCAAGCAAGTTTGTTTTGAATATGTTTTTATGCGTATTTTAAATTATTTTGCATACAGTTTTGCTTACAACTTTGATTTCCATTATTTAATAAAATATTTGTTGACTAGGTACCTAAACTATTAATTCGGGCAGAAACTAGATATTTTTTTGTGTTTTTTGGCCCATGTGTGGCCGCCGCGCCATCTTGAATGTCACGTGGTTTGAATTGCCTAATGTTAGTTTATATGTTAGGTTATAATTATACACCAGTGTGTTCGAAAAGAAAACAGATAAAATTTACTCTTCTGACCACGTGACTATATACCCACTCTTACTCTTGGGTTAAATTTAACCTTTTTTCGACGCACTCCAGTATGACGGTGACGTCATCAATTGACATCATCTGTATCTAAACAAACTTTCAGTACATTTCAATTGAGACTTTTGTCTATTTACTTACATTGTATTGGATGTACCTATGGATAATTGTATTGTGGATGGCCTACTTAAAAATTTTGAAAGTATGACGTAATCAATTGACATCCTCTGCATCTAAACAAACTTTTAGTACATTTCAATTGAGACTTCTCTATTAGATTGATTGGATTGGATATACCATATCGGCAACGTCGCGAAATTTGTTCTAGGGGGAATCTTGATTGAATCCCAATCGCACTATCCCTCTCACTTTCTCGCACTGCTGACTGTTTCTCTTTCTCGCTTTGCTGAACTCGGCTCGAGCCGACTGTATCGTATCCGACCTTCTCGGCGCGAGAAAATGGTTCAAAAACGTGGATTGGATTGTATTTCGAAACGGTTTGAACCAATTTTGTGTGACGTCATTGGTTCATCGTCAGAATATACTATTTCAAACTTGTTCTGAACCAGTTTTAGAAAAGTGAACGCGAGAAAACAGTTTTTTTTTCCGATTAAAGGTCTGTTCGTACAGAAATCATAAACCAGTCAGACACAGTGAATTTCATTGGTTGAAACTTGTACGTTTTCTGACTGTTTTCAACCAATGAAATTTGCTCTGACTGATTTGTGATTTCTGTGGGAACAGATTTCTTGTCATTCAAGAGCCGGGAATAATCAAAACTTTACATTTTATAAACTTGAAACGCCGTAGCTGAAAAATTATTCGAGATGGAGAGCTTATAATTAGGGTGGATTTTCATGCATCCGTTTGTCCGACGAAAGATGTCCGAAAAACATTCTATTCTGACATAATCGTATAAAAATATGTCAAAATAGAAGATTTTTCGGACATATTTCGTCGGAAAACGGATGCATGAAAATCCGGCCTTAGGCGTTATGTTATGATCAATGAACTATAGCTAAAAACTGGAATGCGCACACATTGCCATATATGCCAAAAAAATGAAGCCATGAAAGACAGATGCCACAAGGGGGAATGTTTTTTCTGTTGCTCGCTGACATATGACGTTTTCGAAAGTTTTGTCATATTTCCCTTCACAGGTTTCATCAATTGGAATACGTGTTGGAAGCAATTTTCGCCATTTAACATAACGAGTGCGACAAAAACAGGTATCCCCTCCGCAGCAGCCGCACTAGGCTTCACGTTCGTCCTTATGTGTTAGCATTCCAGTTTTTGGTTATAGTTCATTGGTTATGATTTACTTGAACGCCATCTTGTACCAAGGTTGTATGAGAGAGAGGTAGGTTGCCTGATAACTTTTATGACGTCATCTGTATGCCTAATTATAATGCAAATCTCCATAAGGTACCTACCCCAGATGCGTTATCAAGGGGTGCGTTCAAGGACGGCAATGCTAATGCCAAAACCTACTTTTCCCCCTCCACCTGTAATGCTGAACCACGTAGGTTGGAGCCGAACTCGAACGGAAAATGCCAATTTTGGCTTAGCTGTAGCCATTCCTGAACGCAGCCAAGTTATCCATTAGGCAATTCAAACCATGTGACATTCAAGATGGCGTGGCGGCCACACATGGGCCAAAAAACACAAAAAAATATCTAGTTTCTGCCCGGTTTTATAGTTCTAGCATAGACTTAAATACTACGAATAGACGTCCAGTCAAATGGTAAAAATCTGTGACGCTATTTGGAGGCTCGCTATCGAAAGCGAGCCTCCAAATTCAATTCAGGCTTTGGTATTTTAGATGCTGGATACGAGATGGCGCGCATTTCTGTCATAATTCAAATTCGCGCGTTACGCTGTTGCCAATAGTTCTAAAATAACTAGTCCCAAATCATTAAATAGGCCAAACCATACATTAAGACACCAATTTTTTTTATTACTGCATCTTATACTAAATATTATACGCAAATTAATAAATTGTTAATAGAGAGTTATTGGAACTATTAAATACTGCCTCGCAGTATTAAGATTCTACGTTATTTCATTAGTGCATCAGCACTATTTTTCCAAGAAAAAAACAGTTATTGGAAGACTGTAGTAGGTGCTAGAGTATTACCTTATTTTTTATTCATAATTTTGACAGCTGATAGCTATGTTTATAAATTTCAGCCTCAAAAAGGGTTTATTTTTGTTTGTGATTTTCTGCTGATACCGATTTTTTTATGTTACCTACAGTAAAATGGAAAACTATTTTAAAAAATAAATTTTCTAAGTAAAATTACGTCATCGTCGAAAAGCGAAACGTCAAAGTCGTCCAAAATGTCAGAAATTTAAAATAAGGGAAGTTTACTGCCTCGCACTAACCATACACAAATAAAGACAAGCAGTAACCTTATTAAGGGAATCCTTATTTTCGGACCCAAATGCGCATGCGTAGATGTCAAAATAAGGCTAATTTAAATACTGCTTGTCCTTATTGCACGTCCAATAACTCTCTAATGTTAAGATTTTTTTTTAATATAAATAAATTTCACTTATTTTGTAAATTGTTAAGTTTTCTATTTCTAGTGAAAGCTGAAATGGATTTTTTTTTGAAATGGATTTTGAAAATTAGTTCTTTGAAATCCAAGCAATAATTTATTTCTTCGAAAGTCGCAAATAGCAAAGAGAATTCTTGTCTAGTTTTTTGTCCGTATAAATTTGACAACACCGAAACATCAGAAAAAAGGGAGGAATGCGGTTGTCCTGGAAACAATGACACGCTGCTCGTACACAAGGGTGCTAGCACAGTTTTCTTTGAATTTTTAATACGAGTGGCGCCATCTTATGAATTATTGAGGCATTTTTTGTGCTGCTATTTCCACTGGACGTCTATTCGTAGTATTTAAGTCTATGGTTCTAGTCAACAAATATCGTATTAAATATTCAAAATCAAAGTTACAAGCAAAACTCTTAGCAAAATAATTTAAAATACACATAAAAACATATACAAAACAAGCTTGCTTGGCCGCCACGCCATATTGAATTTTCCTTTTTGACAGATGGATTAAATTGCCTAATAGACCGATCTCCTATCACCTGGGCTGCGTTCAAAAACGGCTAAAGCCAAGCCAGAATTGGCATATTGCGTTCAAGTTCGGCTCCAGCGTGCCAGAAATGGTTCGCTTCACACGTTCAGAATCGGCCGCGGTAAAGTAACTTTTGGAGGTGCTTTTGACTGAGTCTAGAAATGGTTATACGAATTTTGATTGGATGAGACCAAATTCAATATGGCGTGGCGGCCGGCAAGTTAGTTTTGAATATGTGTTTTCATGCATATTTCAATTATTTTGCTTCGAGTTTTGCTTGCAGCTTTGATTTTGATAATTCAATAAAATATTTGTAGGTACGTAAACTATTGAGTTGGGCAGAAACTAGATATTTTTTTGTATGTTTTCGTCTATGTGTGGACGCCACGCCATCTTGAATGTCACGTGGTTTGGATTGCCTAATTGAGAAACGGTATTTGGCGTTCCAGCAAATTCACACCAGATTTGGCATTGCCGGTAGAAGGGGAAAAGTAGGTTTTGGCATTAGCATTGACGTATTTGAACGCACTCCGGGACTGCGTGCGTCGCTTGTAGGCTGCAGGTGAGCGTCCAATGAGAAGCAAGTTTATGACAGGCTTGCGTCATATTCTTATTCAGGGGCCAGTTCAGAATGAATCGTTCCTTCTTTCTTTGTAATGTGTAATTTGACAAAGAGCAAACTAATACTTTACATATTACTTGAATTCACCGCAGTTTCGTTTAAGGTTATGTTAGATTAAACTTGACATACTCCTTTGCAATTTCATTGAGCGATGTTGCCGGATGAAACATTTATCAAAATAAAAGTGCAAACGATGTTTATCCACTTTAAAGCTCTTCTTTTGTCTGATTTAAGGCGTTGTGAAACACTTGAGACTATAATACTTCTTTAATGTTATAATGTTCGATTTGTATTGTCTACATTTGTTCTGCAACAATACAATCTAGCTACACTGCAGTTGCGCGCGCATGTCATCTTTTATTGTTTTCTAACTTGTATTTAATACAATGAAGCTTCCTTTTTCTAATCATGGGAGATAGGTCTATTACCAGACAACCTGTAAACTTTAAGAACCTTTAACTTGTACCTTATTTCGTTAGTAAAAGTTAAAATGTCTTCTTTTTCCTATTTGAAATAAGTGCTTAATCAAGCGCCATTTTGTAGCCTATTTCATTAGATTTTTATTAATTTAAGTTCAAAATGGCAAAATCGATACAATCAATCAAGAGCCGGGAATATTCACAAATTTACATCTTATAAACTTAAAAGGCCGTAGCTAAAAAACTATTCGAAATGAAGAGCTCATAATTCAAGTGCCATCTTGTACCTTATTTGAAGTTTGTCCATGAAGTCTTCTTAAATTTGATTGGTAGAAGAAGTTGTAGGTACACTGTTGCCAATTCGAAGTGAAAACGCGGGAAATTCAAATTTAAAAAAAAATAAAAATTACAACATAATATTGAATTTTTTCGCTTGAGAGCCTGAAATAGACAAAAAATGAAAGAGAAAATGCAATTTAATTATGAAAAGTTTAATAGAATAGAAGAAAATGTCACTCTGGGTTCCTTCGTAGCTAATTTTTTGAAAATATTGCTCCTATTTTCCTAAGAATTTGATATTTCAACTTGGAAATCAAACTTAGGTATTTTGGTTTGAAGTGAGCATTACTGTGTTGTAAGCCAATCAAATCATTTTAAAACTTTTTGATGACAACGAATTATTATCCTAAAAATAATAGAAACACGCCAACCAAAACCACAAGAAATTTCAAGTATGAGCAAAAATCTAAACAAAACTATGACTCGATATTAATCTCCAGATTCAAGGATTCGATTTTATTTTAGAAAATCCAGATTAGGGAGGGGACTGCATAACACAAAACTTGCCGCCGTCCAGTGCGGACCCATCATAATCCAGAAATTTTCGATTATTTTTAGTTTCACAGTTAATATAATAAGTGCTAGTGCAAACATGTTTTGCGATAAAAGATTTATGAAGTATTTTCGTGTGGCCGAGGAACCAAAGTAGGATAAACAATAATAATTATAGACGCTGAAAGAAATTGAACATGAATTTATTAATAGTTTAAATTTGCAATGCTTTAATAATATATTTTTGTTTTGTTTCAGAACCTCTCTATTTATCATTATGAGCTTCGTGTATGCTAAACTGTTGGTTGTAATATGTTTAGCATACGTATTTTCGCACGTAATTACCAGAAATCTACCCCTTTATTACTACGAAGGTTTTTTCACCTATTTATATGGTATGAGCATATTATTTTTGCTCTACGTCTTTTGCTTTTTGCTGCAGGAAAGCTCATGCTGCGCCGGAGTGGAGAAAATAAAAGTATGGATTTTTTTTAATAAGAATAATTTGTAAATAGTGTTAATAAATTTTTTTTTCAGGTGCAACCTGCTAGTAAACAAGTAAAGGAAAAAGATAAAGAGAAAGAGCGGAAAAAAGAAGAGGAAAAGAAGAAAAAGGAGGAAAAGGAGCAAAGGAAAAAGGAAGAGAAAGAAAAGAAAAAGGAAAAAGAAAAAGAAAAGGAAAAGAAGAATAAAAAGCAAGACAAGGTGAGTGAGTTATATTATTCAAACATATTAATGCCAAAAGAAGATCGCATATTATTTCAATTAAAACGGATATTGGATGTTTGACTGTTTTATGGCGTCATATTACAGGGTTATTTAGAATTTCGAACATGCCCTGTATATTCAACCTAATACTTGTGTGTACGCCTCGAACATAAACGCGCGTTGCTCGTTCGACCATTGCTCCAAATATTAAGTTGGATATACAGGGCACGTTCGAAAAGATTTTCACTTTAAGTCATCCTGTATTAACGACAATACAATCAAAGGGTGAGATAGATATAGAAGTTGATCTAAAAGTTAAAAAGTGAGGTCATAAAACATTCGAGCATCAAATTCTGGCATTTTTGTAGTTTTTGCTAAGACCTCCTAAAATTGAGGATGTTTCAGCAAAAAGCGTCCTCGAGCTCCAAAAACAAACAGGATCCGGATTTCAACATCTCGTTTTCATTTGAAGACGTCAAGGTATGTACGTCGTACTTCTATATCTATCTCAATCTTTTCATATACTTTTATAATAATGTGTGGTGCACAATTTGCAACTATTTCAATCAATTTGCCAAGCCTATATGAATAAAATTGTTTTCGATTGTGATTATGCTGATGTGCGATCTTCTTTTGCCTGACTAACGTCCAATAATTGTTTGATAAATCAATACACTACCCATTTTCGAGATAATTTGACTACACAACTTCCCAGCATTATTATTTTTATGTTAATTATTATAAGTTGCTTTTTTTTTCTTTGTTTTTTTTTTGTTTGTTTCGTGAGCTTAGAGAGAAAAATTTCCTCGCAAAAGACGAGACTTTGTCAAGGACGTTACCGCATCAGACGCAACTAATTCTAACTTAAAGGTGAGCGAGTATTTTTTGCTACAAATAAAACATAGTTCACATAATCGCTTCTTTCTTATATTGCTTTAATTTCGCAACTGCACCTTTTATACCCAATCTCAGAGCACACACTTATTTTCTATTATTTTTTTAAATTTATTATTTGTTTTATTTTTTTATTATTATTTCGCGTTTGTCCCCTGACCAAAATTTGTAGAGCACCACGTACCGTCGCAACAGCGAAGGCGTCGTCGACGCCGAGGACGTGGTGCCCGTACCCGTGACGGAATTGTCCCAACAACAATCTTCGCAGGGTCAAGAACCGTCGGTGCAGCCGCCGGCACCGCCCGCGCCGCCGCCCTCTGCTCCGATCAACAATTTGGACGTGGAAAGCGGTTCTGCGCATCAGCAAGCGGTCGCGCAGCAAAAGGGCAAGTGCAAACGGAAGACTACGCAGAACGATCACAGTCACGGCAGTTTTTTTTTGAGAATTGGAGCAATTGGTTTGTATTTTATTAATTATTAGTGATAAGAAAATTATTGTTGATTTTTTTCAAAATAGCTTTCGGATTGGGCACGATGATTTACAACGGATTGGAGTTTGGGAAATTCTTCGAAACACCGTTCAACTCCAAGTGTCACATGATTTTGCAAGGCATCAATCCTGTGTTGCAAATGATTTTCACTTTTATGCAAATGTACTTTATTTTTATGAATTCAAGGGTAAGTAGATGATTCAATTATTAGTGGTTTTTTATATTTACAATTATTCAGGCAATAATTATTATAAAAATTGATTTCCAATCGACAATGGAGTTCTTATTCTTGCGATTTTTGCCACCAATTAAGCTTATAGCATTTGTTTTTCTTGGTAAATATCCATTTTGTATTCGACTGAAGTTTTGTTATTTTCTTTTAAAATTTCTTCTATCCATATGCTCTTGACTCTTTTATTAGTCATATTTTGTATTGTTTTGAGTAAATACATCTTCAACATCTCATCTTTCATCTTGTACCCACCTTTCTTCTTGTATTTTTAATGATTTCCATACAAGACCAATGAGACGAGACTTTCATAAAGTCTTGTCTCGTCTCGCTGATGAAATACGAAGTCTTATCTCGAGACTCGAGTCTTGTGTCGCAGTCTCGTCTCGCGTCTCATACGAGAATGTTGCAAATGTATCGGAATTTCGTGCTCCGTAATAGAGAACTTTTTTGAAACAACAGCTTGTTACAAATAAAATTAGAAAGTAGGAGGCACGATTAACATTGAAAATAGGCCCCCGTAAATTTCAATCAACTTTCAATATTTTAAAGGTATCATCATTGCCAAAAAAAATTTGGAATGTAAAGACGATCGTATGTCTGTGATACCAGATATAGCTTGTCAAAGTACTTAGGTCCTGCTATCCTATGCATAAGAAATATCCTAGGAAATATCCCTACGTAGATTTTCTTGAACATTTCGAAAAATTCTAATCCGATTTTCACGTTAATGGGGTCATTTTGTAGTTATGTATTTTAGCAAGCAATGTATGTCAACTCCAATATTTCAATACAGGATGTTGAAGTTATTGTATATTTTAATAAAATCTCGAAATCAAAAAATAATGTTAAATACAACAATAAACCTTCATAATGTTAACTGCCCTGAGAGCAAGCTTTAAAAAATATTATACAGGGTGTTGTCCTAATTAAACCTATTTTTAATTTTGTAATTAAATTATTCGGGGCAGCATGTTCCTCTCAGCAGCATTATTCATTCCATTGAAAATATTATCTTGTGGATAACTAATGTATTGTTGGTGTCTGGCATATCCTAAAAACCATAGTACACTAGCCACGTGACAACAGGTACCAACCGTTCTGGCCCTAGAACGACACGTGCAATAATATCCAGATATTTGAATATTTGGATTTTGATTATATGTTATGGCCTGCTGGTACTTGGTAGTGGCATTTCGATTTCAATACCAATATCTCTTAAAAATTCTTCGGCATCCCTGTAACCTCGGTCTAATACAAAAATGTCACCTTCTTCAAACCAGTCTCTTATTTCAGCCACATTTTGATTATGATTCCAGAATTCATTTGAGCCCCATTCTACATTTTGCACATTCAAAAACGCGACGGTATTTTGCATACACATTGATGTTTTTGATTGCGCGTTCATGTATGTGCGTGCATGTTTTCAGACATCCACGTCCGTGTGTAACCGTCTTTTTGTACAGTCGCTCGCACAAAACTGCAGTCTTGCTATTCTTGCTACAGTGTTCCGAGTGTGCATACAAAATTGCACATGCAAAAACGCGACGGTATTTTGCATACACATTGATGTTTTTGTTTGCACGTTCATGTATGTGCGTGCATGTTTTCAGACATCCACTTCCGTGTGTAACCGCCTTAAGCCAGGGACACATCTATCATGCATTCTTCCGATCCGACTCCGATCATACAATCAAGGTCCTTATTCTTGGAACAGAGGAGCAGCGGAACACTCATTCTCCTTGGGAACGTTGTTCCCTGTTCCAAGAATAAAGACCCTGATTGTATGATCGGAGTCGGATCGGAAGAATGCATGATAGATGTGTCCCGGGCTTAAAGAGTAGCTGTATCGTTGTTACGACTGTCTGAAAAGTATGGACCATGCATTGCCAAAATGTATCCATCAGGGGCACATAATATTGTCGGTTTCAGAAGGTGATATTGTTTGTGGACAGAAAATGATTGCCGAAGTATTTGAAAGTTCCGACTTTTCTCAATTTTGATATATGTAGCATCTATCACACATATAGCCTTGCAAATTTCAGGTGTTTCGTTATACAGAATGTTATGAAATTCGCTTACGTGATTATTTATATATTCTTCTCTCGCTAGATGCCCATATCCCAAATTCATCGGTACAATATTGGTATCTAAAGATATTAATACCTTGTCAACTGTACTAATTACTAACTGCCTGGGTAATAGAATTTGACTATTGAAAATTAGGAAATTTACAGGATCCACAACCGTTGAGATTATTGATGAAATTGAAATTGAAATTGAGAGAAAATGTTGAACAACTTAAGAAAATCTTGAATATAAAATTGAAAGTAGGTAAGAATTATTTATGCAATTTTGGCCTGTTACAACTCCCCCTCTCCTACGATAGGAGGGAAAGTTAGAAAGAAACTTTTCCGACGATAATCTAAGCAAACTCGAGAACTAAGGTACTATAAAGAATGTAAAGTATGTGTATTTATAATTTAAACTTAAATGAATTCAAAATGACTATCAGGATACAACAATTAAAAAGGTAGATAATAAGAAAGGTAGTTGTATCCCTCCAAAACGAACATTCACTTACTTTGCCTTGAAAAACACAACGGTAAGATAAAAGATAAGATAACTGAAGCCAACAAAGCTAAAGGTAAAGGCAAAAATAAGCAAAGTCGTGAAGGAAAGAAAAGAGAAGAAATAAAGGAAAGAAAAGAAGTTATTGACCACTAAGAGTTGAACGCCAAAAAGGCAAAAGGTAAACGCAATAATCAAGGTACAAGGTAAATGCAGCCAACAAAAGATAAGCCAACTAACTTCAGGGTAAGGTCAGGTACGGGGTAAGGAAATATGTAAACTAAAGAAAGGTAGGAACATCATCCTGAACACAAGAATCAAACGGAAAGTCAATAAACTATTGACAAAAGCAGTAACGGAGAACTCAATGGACCGAATGACATGACACTGTCCCGTTTCGCGCCAAAACAGTAACACGCAACCAAGACAATGAGCTCCTCGCTCAGCCAACAAAACAATCAAGTGTTTCAGGAGTCAACAAATGGAGGTAAGGGAATTGAAACAAAACACAAAGAATTAGGAATAAAGAACTATGATGGATATAGGCTTGCAAGAAATGGTATAACAACCACAAACCTATTCCTCAATGACCTAACATATCCTATTCCTAAAAGACATGCCAGGGTGATGCTAAAATTACCAGTGAGATGGTACTGGTTAAGGCTAACAGACACCAGCCTAAGTAATTGGACGGTTACTCGAGTCTTCAACCAAGTTAACCACAACCAGTAGCCAGGACTAATCTGGTTAATTGTAAGAACAACCATCACCTGGAACATTTCGGTATCGTACTAGTTTTAGTTATCCTGATTATTATTGTTTATTTACATTCTGTCCCTATTTATACACCACGGTGATCACCTCGGTATTTCAGGGAATAATTCATTGCTTGCCCCCAGTGTGGTGAATGAATTATTAAATAGGTAACTTAACTAGACGTAACCTGTTGAATTTATGTCAACCTACTGGTAGTTCTGGTTAACTTGGTTGAAGACTCGAGTAACCGTCCAATTACTTAGGCTGGTGTCTGTTAGCCTTTTGGTTCAATTTCGGTTACAATTGAACGCCTATTGGTATAACCGTGAGGGTAAACTTGATGGAAAAGTACAACCCCTCGCTAAAGAAAACCCTGATGGAAATAGGGTTTGTTTGCCTCGAAAATCTCTGGAAATCTGGATCGAGGATTGGATTTCCTAGAGAGAGTGAGAATTCTCTACTCTTTAGGGCAGCTTTCAACACATGGAGTTGCAAAAATCCGAATTAATCGGCGAAAATTATATTACTACGAAAACGTAAGGCAAAAGGCAACTAAAATGTTATAATTTTAAATGAGAATTTAGGGTCGAAATCCCACAAGGGCGAAGACAATCTTCAGAAATCGATAGAACTTTTACTTACCAAAAATTGCACACAACAATATAATCCGAGAAAAATAACAACAGCTGACGAATAATGATATTAACAACAAATAATTATCCCATAAAACAATTAAAACTTAAAGAATACAAAATATAGTAAGTGATCCGTTTGCAAAATTAGAGGGCTCAAAGAAGAATCGACGATACTAAAAACATTACTAGTCGACCGCTGGGTGACAAAAATTTTTGACAATCAAAAGTCAAAGAAACGAAATCAAGGATAATGCACAAAATATCTCAAAGACCATCGAACCAATGATCGACCCGGGGTTCGCTAGAATTTGCTCCGAGATCAATAGCGCTTAATAGCCGAATAGAGTTAGTACGAACGGAGTAGTTCGGTACATCCACTTAAAAACGGGTCATTATGATTTTCGGAACACAACCCACGAAATATTTTTGACACATGAATTATTTTTGTTATGAAACAGATGATCGAATTTAAAATTGGACTCAAAATATTGCTTTGTTTTGATTTTGAAATTGAACCAAATCATGGATTAAAATGAGGAAAAACCATTACAGGAAATAGAATTTGACTATTGAAAATTAGGAAATTTACAGGATCCAGAACCGTTGAGATTATTGATGAAATTGAAATTGAGAGAAAATGTTGAACAACTTAAGGAAATCTTGAATATAAAATTGAAAGTAGGTAAGAATTATTTATGCAATTTTGGCCTGTTACAAAGAATAGCCAAACATAGCCATTAAGAATGTGTCTGAGAGTCCTTGACGAAGTTTGCATTTAAATAAAATTGAATCAATTTTCCTATTCCAGTTGTTATGTTGCACTGGATGGCAGTGTTGATATAGATCTTGAAATTGTTCTTTAGTTAAAGAAGTTAAGGCCACAAATTCTTCATTTGCAAACTGGCAAGTAATGGAACATGAGGAAATTGCTGATTTTCCTAATCTTACTTTGGACTTTTTGAGAAATCTGAATTTTGGCACTTTTCAAATTACTTA